TAGAAAAAGAAACATAGAAAAGGTCTGCCCTAACTTCTTGTCAGGCTGTAAAAAAGAGACATGGAATTTGTACTTTCACGCTTGTAAGAGTCTGCTAATGTAGCCTTATAATGAAGTAGAATTAGCTCATCTGGTCCATTTCCTTTCTGGTCTAGTGATAAGCTGACAGGCATTCAGACAAGTTGTCCTGCTTATTACCAACCATGCTTTTTTTTAATTACCTGTGGGCTACCTGTGAATATAGACATGCCAGTCTTTCCCTTGCTATTCAATCCATTTGTCCATGGGTTCATTCCTAGTTTATGGTTAGGGCACAACAGGAGTGATGTGCAATCCTCGTCTACAGTGGGAATTGATATGGGAACAAGCATTCACCTAAAAATTATTTTAGGATATGCAGAAACAAAAAATATCTAATCAAAAGAAAATGTATTAGGTAACAAAACTAAATAGAATTCCACATAGTCATGTGATATTCATCTTACACACAAACCAACTTTCTATATCAAGTTGATCAGGCATTGGTTAGGGGGAATGAGAACCATCAAATCTTGACACAAAATAAAAGCATTTGGACGTAGGATGGATGGATAGAGACATTTGCTTTCTTTTCAGCTAGAATTGAAGGAAGCTTGGCCCTTCCAAAACCATGACTTTTATACAGTCTATATTGCTGGGTAGACTTCTGCTCTTGGCACACAGCTAAGGATTTTTAAGTAAAATTCCCTTGGCAATCTTGGAACTCTATCCAGAAATTTCAAGATGTTACATAAAACGTTCTCTGGAACCTTCACATCCCTGCAATGCCACTTATGAAATTTCCTCCCCACCTCTGTGCCTGTAGCATAGTGGTTTTCAGACTATTTTATCACAAAACTAAATTTTTATCAACATACTGACCATCTTTTCAGCTTGAAAAATAAGTACAAATGGTAGATTCTATTATAAACCATTAAAGTACAAACATTATGTATGGTAGATACAGAAATGAAACAAATCACAAAAATATCTCATTTAAAAGATCCTATGGCAGCTCCAGAAGATTTTCCACTTGGTTTTGATCTACCTTAGAAGCAATGGAATACCAGATATAGGTAGTTCTTGAAATGTTTTTATATATTAAACAATATAGTTAGAAAAGTTATCTCAATGGGGCTCAATGAGAGTACAAATTACATGGAAATATGTGTATGGTTAAGCCTTCTATGTAACACTGTGTGTGGAAGAACTTTGTCAGTAGAAGGGGAAATGATGGTTTCCTTCTATGTACTGTCAAAATCTTTTCTGAAGAATTAAGGATCTTTGGGATATAATGTGGATGGAAATCCCAGGGTGGAAAAAGTATTTTACTTGAGTACTTTTCATATAATCTTAAACATAGTTTCCAAATTTAATTTCACTATCTCTTAATTTCAATAGATAGAAAAGAATAAACATAGACTTTTCTTAAAAGGAAGAAATAAAGGACTACAGTATATGTTAGCTTTCAAAGCAAAAAAATAAAATTAAAATAGATTTTTGCAAAAACTAATTGATCTCTCAGGAAGCATTATGAAAACTAGCTATCTGTCCATCTGTCTGTTGGTCTATCTCCAAAACATAGGTTTGGACTTCTGATTTGGTATGGCAACATTCTAATTCACAGTCTCAGTACTCTAGCTGTTTACAGGACTACTCATATTTTCATTGCTTTATTGATTAATTGATAAACAGAAAATTCATTTTGCCTTTTTTCTTGCTATTTTATGGAGATAAATTATGGGCCCACATTTCATAGCCACACCTTTTTCTCTCCTTTGTCTGAAATAGCATTTCAGAGAAATCTATAGTTGAACTGCAAAAAAGTGTGTCGACAATAAATTAAGGTGTTTAAGATGACGTGACTCATGTACAGACTCCGCTTTGTAGATATAGCTTATGATTTCTGAACACTATTTACTGTAGAATGCTCAGCAATATAAGTATTTAGCAGACTTTATGAAGAAATTCATTATATATTTTCACTGAAATTGGAATAGCAATTGGAAATTGAACTGCTTATAGTGAGAGCTTCTCTTCCAGAAACTCCAACTGTGGTTAGGTTTTTTTTTTTTTGAAAGATTTACAACTGTGTTTATCTTGGCAAGCAGGCTCTTTGGGATGGAATGCAAGTATGATTTTTCCACATCTGCCTCCATAAACAATTCAGAAATGCATGTTATTTTGGTGTGAAAAATACAGTACAGAAGGTCATCTTATAACCATTAGTTTAGCTACTGTTCAGTTACACTAGCACAAAAATGACTTACAATCAGTCCTCACACTTACAACTGTTACAGAATCTCCCGTTTCCAAATAATCTTCAAAGGCAGCCCATTGCAATAGTCTGAGAGACTATGAGTATGTGAATCAGAGTTTTGCAGTACTACCAAGCTTACAATTGGTGTACCAGCCAAAAGCCCTGAGCAAAAGCCCTTGTAGCCATGGCCTCCAGCTGCTGCTGTACAACTGTTTGGAGCAGTAAAACCTAATCAGAGCCAATGACAGAATCAGACTGATATCATAGACAAATGACAAGTTTTTCTTAATGGCATTTGACTTCATTTTGACTCATTCAGGTCTGCAAAGTCATGCCTGACTCACCCACTTGGGCATGAGTGTCAGAACTATGTTAGTATCCTGACCTTAATCTGGTGTGTTGCCATACTAATGATTCTTACTTTCAAACTGATGGATGACATTCTCCAGGAATTGCATATACAATATTAAATCACATGACAGAGGAAAGTAAACAATGCAGCCATACATTTGGGTTCTTTGACAATTTTAAGATAGAAAATATCTAGGTGTGATGGTTTATTTGTTTTAAGTAATTTACCCAACTTATTTTCTTACCTTTTTCTTCTTTCACATTTCTTTTTTTGGTCAAATGTAACTATTTTGGAATCAGTTCAGTGATTTTTAAATTTGCATAAGATACTGGAATTATTTAGGATTAATTTTACCTCAGACCCCCTTTAACTTGAAGATAGAGGGAGAAATAAACAAGCTATGCAGTTTTCAAATTCTCAGGTGAAGAAAAACTTAGTATGTATGGGTATTCAGCAGGAGGAGGAAATACATGTAAACACCTGTCAGGATGAGGGTTCTGGTTGAGAATTAAGTAAGAACATAATCTCCATTTTTCAAATTTAAGTTTGAAATTGATTGCTTCTAAAGCAATAACGTGTAAATCTCCCTAAACTGAGGAAACAGTAATTAATCATATGATGGTGGTTTTGGTGACCGTAGTTTTAAAAATACTAGCAGGCCATACAAGGCTACTTGGCAGGCTGCATGTTGTGCAAGCCTGCTCTAGATAATTGGTTCTACTGTTCAGTATACAGTTAAATTTCTGAATTTAATTTCTTCCAACAGTCAGCTGATTTTTTTTCCCATTTCAATAGCTCAATGTTAAAGAAAATACTACAAGCTTTTTGCATTTTCTTTTCTCCTATGAAAATAAACATAGAACTTGAGCTAGAATGAACTTGAAATAGAGAACTGCATCCTGAAGATGTTGGTGCCTCTGAATTGATGTTGACTCCTGGGGACTGCTTGGATTAGTTCCTATGGTTTTCTTGGCATGATTTCAGAAGTGAATTGCTGTTGCCTCCTTCCTAGACTGGCCCAAGGTGACTCAGCTGGCTTTGTGCCTAAGATGGGATCTAATAATGCCACTGTTCAATACTTCCATAATAAACAACTAATATCAGTTGAGAAAGGGTTAATGAAACAAAGGCTTCATTTTATCAACAGTCAGCAGTATAGAAATAGTGTAAATAAATAATAAACCATAGAGAAGAATGGTACTAAGATTACAAATACAACACAAATATTTTTAATATACATCACAACAATAATAAAGTACCGTATCTATTTAATCTAGTGTCTTAATTAAGCAAGCTAAATATCATATGGCCACAAACTGCAAGCAAGTTAATTATTTGATAGGCTGATGAACTACTGTTACAAGTAGCATCAATTATATCATCCATTTAGATCAGAAGGACAAAATTGCTTAGATTAGAAGACAGCTAAGCCCGTAAATATTTGTTAAATATCCATCGATGCTGAAAAATACTCTATGAATATGAATTGTCACGGTATCTATTTTTCAGAATCCTTTTTGCTGGGGGGAAATTAGTTTTAAAATAAATGCAACAAGGAACAAGCAAATTATGTATTCCTATTCCAATATTTGTGTGTGCATACATAATTTCACCTGTCTGAAAAAGAACATATAATGTTATCAGAGAACTCCAACCAAAAATAAAAATAAAAAGTTGGCTACAGATGAATAACTTCCTTTCCAAGAGACCCCTAGATAAATTTGTGGCAGGTGGGTTTAGGTTTACAGAGATTTTTTGAAGTCAAAAATACTGTTGGCGGGCTGTCCTGCAAAGGTTGCTGAAGCAAAGTTAATGAAGGCCGGCAACTGACTTCTCATTCTTGATTGGGAAGGGATTCTTAAATTTGACACTAGACAGGGCAAACTTAGATTCCTAACTCCTGTTTCGGAAAGCGAACCGCCTGGTAGACTCTCGGCCACTTTTCTACGTCCGAAACAGCAACCCTACTGCAGCACGTCAACATGACAGGTTTCCCCACCCCTCGACAGGTATCCCTTATTATGCCAACTGTGCTCTTCCCACCCGCCCGGCTGCCTTTCATCTTTGCCTTGCTGTACACGTATCCGTCGGTTGGTCAGCAGACCCGCCGCCTCCCGCCTCCCTCTCTCATTCAAGCCTTCACCTCCGCCCCCATTCCCTCTCCGCGTCCTTCCCGCCGCTCTCTCGCTCTGTCTGGCAGCCCCCACCTTCTCCCTGCTCGCACCGTCTGGCAGAACCACCCCCCCGCCTCCATTCCGCACGCTGACGCTTCTCGCGAGATCTGGGGGATGCCGACGTTACTGCTGCTGCCGCCGCCGCCGCCGCCGCCGCCTTGGAGGGGGAGACACTGGCGGCGGGGAGGGGGGGGGAGCCAGTGACGTCGGGAGTTTTCCTCAAAGTCAATAACGAACCTGGCGAAGGCGGCGGCAGGAATCGAGCCGAGCGCTGGGCCCCGGGCCACTCCGGGTGAATTCAGTCGGGAAAGAGCAGCCGCCGCTCCTAACTCCCTGGATGCTGCGGCCGAGCTGCCCGGGCGGGCGCCTCCCTAAATAGCGGGAGAGCCACTATCGATGTAGCCGCCGCCCCGCCTGCATCTCTCAGAACGCCGCTAGCCTGGAGTCGAAAACCTTCGCAAACCACAACCAAGGTAGACCGTCGCAGCCGTGAAGGACTCACCCCCGGCAGGGGGGACAAGGGAGGAGAGATCGTGGGCGCCCCCCTGCCCGGAGACCCGCTTCCGCCCCAAACGGCCGGCACCCGCCACCCTCGCCTTTTGCTGCAGGTAGGCAGGCTCGCGACCGCGCTGACAGAGGCGGCGGGGGGGGGAGGGGAAGCGCGCGCGCTGGGAAGACAGGCGGCTGCGGGGTGGTGGTGGGGGGAGGCAGGCAGACTGGCTGGGCGCTGGTAGCTCTGGGGGCACGTGAGGCAAGGTAGTGGGTGGGGGGGGAGGCAGGTGGGGAAGCCTCGCGTCTCAGACGACTGCTCCGGCCCCCTCTTCCCGTTCCCCGTGACCCAACGCGCCGTTCCCCCTCGTCCGCCGCCATCCTAAACGCGCCTAGTGACAAGAGGGAGGGAGGGAGGCGGCGGCTGCCTCGTTTTCGCAGCTCCTCCTCTTCCTCCTCCTCCTCCTCCTGTTTCGAACCAGCTGAGGCTTAAAACACAAGTCCTGTTCTGGTGTGTGTCCGGTTGGCGGGGCCTGCCGGGCTTCTGTGGAGGCAGAAGGGTTATGTAACATTAATAATATCTTGTGGGGGAGGGAAGGAGGGAGGAGGTGAGCGCTTGGCCACGAGGCGCATCATAACAACCCTGGCGCGCGCAGCCCACCCCGTTATTTGTACGGAATGCTGCTGAAATGCCTTTGAGGTGGATGGCGCATTACAGTTACACGTTTTGCTTCTCTCCTATGCCCAGCCTCCGTCCCTCCCTCAGGAAACTCTTTGGTCGCCCTGCTTCCTCCTTAGATGTTCTTATCTCTTCTTACATTCTGTTCTTAGGCGTAAGTGAATGTAAAATGCGCTTAATGAAGGATCCTTTCCGGGTCCTTCCCACCCCCGGCGTTAAAACAAACCCGCGTTCTAATAATAAGAGACAGCAAAAAGATAGCCTGCTCTTTCTTTTAGAAGTCCACTGAGGCAAGTAAACAAAGCTTGCTTGTTTACATCACGTCTGCTGGATACCCATGGTTACTGCTTTGCATGTATAGGCATCGGTGTACGGTGTGACTTGTCTGATACTGCGTTCTTTCGGCAGCCCATGATTCAAAGAAATTAGAACAGTCAACACAGTCTGAAAATTTCAATGCAGACTTTTCCAGTGTTGTACGTGGGGTTTCCTTTTCAGTTAATAAGTCACTTCAGTTAAAATAGCATGGCGTTCTGTTCAAATAATTTAGTGGTTCTTTCACAGAAATTTAATTATTATTAATCCATCATAAATGATGTATTTATGTTGAATACCACTGTATTCTAAATCATACAAAGTTATATAAGTTATGAAGTAGGTAAAGTAAACAAACATTCTTTATATTTCACAAAAGTTTGTACACACAGGAGTAAAGAAAATAAAATCTGATGACTAAATTAAATTTACAAATTCCTACTGGAAGTAAGCAGAATGTATTATGAACTTTTATTATGGAATAGTTTCTTTGCCTCCGTAGTAGGATTTAACATAAAGTACTATATTATATAAAAGGAGCTACAATTTCAACTGTACATTTTTAGTAAATACTTTCCAGATGCATTTCTTCTGTCTTTGTCTCCTTTTATTTGCCTGTAGAAAGTATATTCCCCTTAGGATGAATCAATATTCCTCTAAAATTCCTAAATGAAATTCTCATTATATTTCTATATATTGTATTTACCATGCATTTCAAATAAAATTTGATTTTTCGTGGATTCTTTATACAGAGTGAAACAGAGTCTTGCTATATTATAAATAAACTTCCATATATTGCTGTATGGAAGTTTATAAAAAAAAATCACTGATTTTCCGAGCCTACAAATAAGACATGCTTTGAATTGGAATATAATATATTGTTTTATCTATTTTTAATTTAAACAATACCATTTAAACATACTGTTTTATCTTTTCATATAAACAGCTCATTGGGAGTAGGAAGTAGGAGATAAGTTCTTCTGAGTTCAAAGAGATTTATTTCCATCTAAAAATACATGTGATTAATGTCTTAACATGTTATTCTAGATAGAATCATTGTGTTTCCACTGGAGGAACTGGATGTAGGGGAGAGACAATTTGTCCTTGTAGCCCACTGCAGATTCTCAAAACCTACTACCGTATGTTACATTGAGAAGAAACCCTCAAAAATAAACTTTGAGAAGCATGGAAAAAGAGAAATCTCATTGTATGAATAGATATTTACATATGTATATTTGGCTTCATTCACTTTTTCTACCTGAAAGTAGTAATTATGCAAATGACAGTCTAAATTTTTGAAAATGTTTTTGACAATTCAGGTCAGTATGGACTATAAATTGTGATCAAAATAGGATCATATGACAAACTTTATAAAATGGTTTAATATAAAATGAACAGATATGGGTATATAAAATTAAATCTATAATGGCAGTGGGGACAGTAGCTATTGCTCCCAGCTCAATTCACTCCCAATTTAGCCTATTGTCTAAATTTGTTTACTTGGATATTCATGTCCTAGTGAAATAAATGGAATTTACTACAGAAAAGTCTGATTAAGCTTACAGTAGATGGCAGCACCTAACAGCTCTTGGTTGATCTTGAAAAGCTGAGCAGGGTCAAACTAGGTTGGTAGTAGGATGCAATACCATTGGAAAATCTCAGGATATACCAAAGACTAGTATATTGAAAAAAGTCTCATAAGAAAGCAGGGACAAGAAGATAACAGCCTGTGCAGAGATGGATAAGTTAGCACTTAAGGAAAAAGAAACATCAGTATATTATAGAAGCTGGGAATGCTGGTATGACTGGATAGAACAAAAATAGAAAATATATTAGTAAACAACGTAAAATGTAAAAGAGGTAGTAATTATATATTTGCAATAAGATATTTGTAAATGTATCACCAATATTGATAACAAACAAGGAACCATAGACTGTCGATAGTAGAATTGTTATTTTTAATCATTTTCTTTTTTCCTTTTTCTTTTTTCTTCTGTGTGTTGTGTATGTGTTTGTTTGATATTTTAGTTCTATAATTAATAAAGTTTGTTTTTTAAAAAAAGAAAGCAACTATACTACATTGACAGATGCAAATCATTATCAAGTGTTAACTTCAACTTGAGTCAGCTTCAACTTTTCAAAGTCAGATTAAATTTGTCCCTAAAATCATCTTTATAACTCATGAAAATAAAGGTATTTTATCAAAGGTAATGCCGGAAGCTACTTCTGTAGAATTTGTTAAAGGCTTACTACTAGGTGTTGCTACAATCTATAGTTAACAGATCAGAATTAATTACCTTTATTGTCAGAGTACAACATGTGTACAATGAGAAAACTATATTAATATGTTTGAAAGCTGAGAATCACTCTAAATCACCCTGCTTATTACAAAATATTGAATATAGTGTACATTTTCTCCATTGCCACAGCGTGATAGTGAAAATCTTAAATGGTTTAATTTCTATTTTGAATAAGAATGAACTATTATTTTTAAAAGTACATTTTCCACTAAGCATTTTAAAACAGGATTTCAGAATCGCTTTTTTCTCTCTATTACATGCTTCTTCAAAACAGTACTAAACCAGTACAGAAAACAGTACATGTTATTTGCTTGGGCTGACTTCATTAATTTAACAAATTGTGAAGAAATCTTTTCTGTGCTTATGAAGACCATGTACATGAAAATCAGTTACATGCATATAAAAACCTCTTACCAGTATGTTTGAACATAGCTTGTTTGTTTATGATTTGGATTGTGATAAAAATATCAATAGCATCCTAATTTTTGTTGTGCAATGTTTCAATAAAATTGTGTTTCTTAGAAATTTGCCTGACAGATTTAAGAAAGTTTTCCAACTAAAGCAGATCACATATAAGGTGTCACTTAGTTTTGATATTGATGTTTACGTACATCTCAGTAAAAATGTGGAATAAGCAGCTTATAAATTGTGTGTTGCAATTTGTATAGGATTACTTGGTGCCCTGATTCTGAAAGAAATGGATACTTTAGTAAAATAGATACTTTAAGTAATAAGTATGTTTCCATTGACTTTTCAAGATACTGATTCAGGCTTTTAGTATATAAATATAAAAATATCATCTTGAAGTTAACAGCTACAGCTGTATTATCTAAATTTTGAATTTCATATTTCTGATATTTTTAAATTGGAGGCTTTAAAGAGGAAGGTTAAATGGTTTTATCTCATGGTTATAATGGAAAGCATGTTTTCTGCCTTGAGCATAAACTGTTATAGAGATGTGCATTATACCAATTTGGGGCATAATTACTGATGTAGAAAGAGATGCTGAGTAAATGTTCAATTGCTGTTTCATGTAGGAAGTATTATTTCCATTACTTCTAATATATATTTCTTAAAATCATATTGTTTGCAATTATATTGCTTACAAACTGTATTTGCAGGAGTTTCCTGCTCCTTTCACAGGAATTCATGCAGAATGCTATAGAGAAAAAGAGAAGGCAAACAAAATTTAGAAAACTTTCTCCCAAGAATATGAATCTTAGTCTGACAATAGAAGAATTTGATCATTATATATGTTTTGAATACACTTTATTGGATGAGTGCCTATTGTAGAGATTACATGTAATTCCCTTAGATATTTCTGAGATGCTTAGTGATCTCAGAAACTTTTTTTATATTTTTGGGGGATTGCTTAGTATTTTGTTTTGATTTTTCATCTCTGCTCAGTTGGGATCCAGAATTACATTATATTTCTTCATTGCTTTAGTGTCAATTCTTTTGTTTATTAGACATAACTAGAATTAAAGGAAATAACCAAAACAGAATATTGTTTTGGATTATGGAAATTATTATGGCAGTTTTCTTCTAAAACAGAAAATCTGACATGTTGTGATTATTTGATTATCAGATTAATCAAAGAATATCCAGAATTATTTCTTTAATTAAACCAGATTGGTCTAGTGTTTAAGGTACCAGGTTAGAAACTGGGATACCATGAGTTCAAGTCCCACCTTAGCCATGAAAGCCATCTGGATGACTTTGGACCCCTCTCTTTTGTGGAGACAATAGGAGAAGGAAAGTGTTGGATATATTTGCCATCTTGAATTATTTGAAAAAAATAATAAAAGTGAGATACAAATGAATA